GTGGTTTAGAAGAAAAAGCAACCCAACATACTAAGTGCCAAGGATGAAAGGATATCAGACATCTTGGCAATACCAGTTCCAATAACATCAAAGGCTGAATTTTAACACGGCTAAGAATGTGAGTGTTGAACACAATCTCATAATGAATTTTATAGTCGGCTGACTTGCAATGAACATTAAAATAATCAAAATATGTATGACACTGCCTATCCTCACATATGCCTTGATAATCTCTCACCTCAAATACTGTAACTCTTCTCTAGACTCCATCCAGTACACCACAGGTTGAAGGATTCTTCTAACTTTCTCAAACATGTAAAGAAGTATATCTTTATTCTCATACAACTCCAATGATTCCACATTTCAAGATTCAGTTCCAACGTGCCCTCCTTGTGTAAAATGAGGATAAACTGGATGTAACACACTAACAAACTTAACATGTGTATAAATGACTACACTAGTTGCAGGGCAGTAGAGAATCAGGCTCTTCATTTTTTAAACCTTCCATAGATTTGCTAAAGCTCATAAGCAAAGATATTGGGCCAAATGCAGAGATAGAGCCAGATCTTCAGCAGGTATGCACTGGCATAGTTTAACTTCACTGGAGCTATCGCAATTCATTATAGCTGGAGATCTGTCCCCTGGAGTCTAACCATGGGATAAATCCTTGCCCCGCTGAAGCCAATGGCAAAACTCCCACAGACTGCAATGGGGCAGGGTTTCACCCGACGTTTAGAGGGTGAGTCGGTTGTTTTAACAGCACAATGATCTAACTTCACCAACGGATAACTCTCTTCCCCTAGATTCATCTCTGAATTAGACACCTTATCTTCCTTTGCCTGTCTAGCACCATCTTCTTCTCGGTCACTGCCAGTCTTGATATTGTTGGCCTTCTTTCCTCTGCATTCGCTGCTACAAGGAACAGCTTCCTATCTCTCTGCTTTAGAGAGAGTCTTCCTTTCTTTTCAGCTTTTGAAAATAATTTTGCCCCCTTGCTTAATTTCTCTCTCTCTCTCCTATTATTCATTATTTCACTTAGTAACTATGCTATTTAATTCTGCATGGATATATCATTTGACTGACAGGTGCTAGGCAAAATAAAAGATGTATTGTACTAATTTAAAAACTCCATTATAATTGCAATTTACTTCAGAAATAATTGCAAGCCTATTGCACTGTGCATTATTCAACCAGAATGTAGCCTTTACATAAAGATGGTGCACATCTACTTGTAGTAAAGGCTGACCTTCATATGGAAACCTTTTCCTTGGACCAGAAAACAGATCCTAATCCAGCCACAAGTCCTGATATCAATGATGGTATTAAGATTGGGAACAGCTGCTGCATTAACTGCATTAGGATGGCTTTACTGCACTTTTGATTATTATCAACCAGAAAAACTGATATTTGTTGACTTTCTGTTTAGGAATAAGGACTCCTTGGAGTCTTGTTTACCAAAGAGGCAGCACAAAAAGGAATGAGAAAAAAATGGTTGCTATCAGTGGAGATTAAAATCGTTTGATGGAATGAACCAAGGCCCTTGCTATAAGTGACACATATGCAACCTCTTTCCATTTAGAAGATGAAGTCCTTTTGTTACCTTCATCAGAACTCAGAGGAGTTTACTTCTAAGTTTAACACTGCACTGGGCCAACATTTTTAGCATTTAAATTAGATGCAAAAATATATAATTGTGTGAAAGTCTGAGTTTATTGCGGTTATTTATTCTGTCTGTGGACAAGCCTCCCCCGGGTTTGACTGAAGTCAGGCAAAGCTCTGCCACTCCACAGATGCCCTGACTAGAGAGACAACAATGCAGAAACAATGCAGGGCATGAGGTGTAAACAGTACCAGTTGCTAGTAAACTTGACCAAACTATTTCCCCATTGAATATTGATACGAAGCACTCTAAGCCAAAACTCTCTGAGCTGGTTAGGAATAAAATGGCATAAAATTATACGGGTAGATTACAGCAGTATTTTTGGTGTGTTTTGCTTTTTATCCTCCCAGAAGGGTATATCTTCTACAACTGTCCTGTGACAGGCTCAGCTGTGTTCTAGCACAGTGAAGACATTGTAAGTGCATCTAACGTCTCAAAAAGTTCATGGAGAATTATCTAGGAAGACCAAAGCAGCCAGCAAAATATGTTCCCTTTCAGAGCAAGTTCTTGGCTAAACTACACCTACATGCTTGCTCTCCAATACTGTTAATTGGAAAGGGTGCTCCAGCCTCAAAGTTCCAATCCAGATCCCAACTTCCTCTAAGACCAGGGACGTTCAGATTCAGGGATTTGGATCAGCCTACTATAGAAGGGAGCCAGTTGCAGGATTGGGACATTAGTACAAATTTCCATAAAGTTCAGGAGTATTTGGATCAGACCCATCTCTACTGTTTATCCTGTAGTGTCCCTTATGCTAGAGAAGAGACAGGACTGGGCTGTAACGAATATAAAGGGGATTCTTTACTGAGGCCACAGAGAAGATCTTAGAACTATCTAGCTCAGTGTTTCTCAAATGTGGCCACATGCAGCCACCAGGGGCTTTTCTTGCGGCCATAGCCTCCTGGACTGTTACTGTGGGGGTGGGGGGTGGGGAGAAAGAGAGGGAAGGGCGGCAAAGTAGTGGCCCCACCCTGTTGCTCCAGGATGCACAGCATTGGTGTTGATTGCTGGGGCAGCCAGCAGTGGTTGAGTCCTGCTGCCCCTCTGGAGACACCTGGGGAACAATACGGGAGGACCAGGGGGGCGGTGAGTTCCCCACCTTCCCAGGGGCAGTGGGGTTCAGGCTTTCGGCTTCAGCCTTGGGGTGACGGGGCAGCAGGCTCTGGCCACAGGGCTTCGGGCTCCAGCCCGCAACTGCATCCAGGGCTTAATTTATCCCCAGGCTTGACAGGGCTGAGGAAGTCTGCTGTGAAAAGCGACACTTGTATGCTTGTTCATATCACTTTTCACAACAGACTTACTAGCCAACAATAAATAAATTACAATGATTTGGACATGTGTATATGTGCAGATTTATTTGTTTTTCCTAAAGTGATTAAGTATTTTAAGAAAAAGTGTGAGAGCAGCCACCAGCAAGAGTTGGTGGCCGCACTCTGAGGCCACCAAAAAAATTGTCCTGGGAAGAATATTCATCAGTTCATCTTTATAAAATTAGCACTGGCGGTCTTATAACTGCATGCTTTGAAGCAATATTCCTAATTGCAGCTGCAAAAATCAGAAGTCTACCTTTAACCCACTTGATCTGGACCCAGAGATATTCTCCGATCAATGTGAAGGCACTCATGCCCCTAAATGCCCTGTAGGCTTATAGGAAAATAAACCTCAAACACTATAAATCTCTGCGGCAGAGTTTGAAACTCAGACATTGTCTCAGGCATATACCAAGCACCTATCACTGTACTAGCCAGGTGCTAAATGCAGAATTAAAACTTAATTCTGAAAATATTTCTAAAAGTAAGATTTTTTTTTTTTAACACAATGTTGGCCAAATTGAGGAGTATTTGAAATTTGTTTATTAATTTTTGGATGCCTGGAGGGTAGCTACTAACAGGCAGCTAGATTCAACTTGCCTAGGTTGTGGAAAACAGTGGGCCCCAAGATAGCAAGTCTTTTCTGTGGGAGAGCCTTCTGACAAGGTTATCGGATCAGAAAGCTGGTCAGTTGACTTGACCAGAAAGCGAGAGTAGAATTAGCGTGGCCTTCTCCCATCTCATTTTCTGGATGGTCTTGGCTATGAACTGAAATGACAGGACACAGAGCAGGTTGTGGACCACCTAGCAAACAGGATGCCGGTTGCAACAAGATACTTGAATTCACTGGGAATTTTAGGGTTGATTCAGATAAGAGCAGGATCAGGCTCTATGTCTTTAAAAACCTAGTTCTCTTTGGGACCAGTGGCCTGATCCACTGTTAATACCCTCTGCAAATGGCTTTGTTAATGGAGAGAATGTAAAGTCAGGAATTTCTCAGAGAGATTTCCTACCTCATATTTCACATCCCTCCTTGGGCATATGCATTAGAATTGTGAAGGGGCAGACTGGGTCTACAAAGATACGAAGACACCGAACGAAACATGTATCTATCTCTCAACTAGAAAGGGAGCGTTTTTGTGGTTTGGCATCTTTCCACCACTAACATACTCACAGTGACCTTTCCAACCTCTCTCTGCCCCCTGCTGTTGGTTCTAGGGCAAAGCATGTAGTAGCACTCAATGTATGATGTACCAGGGAAGCCCCAAAACTCACATGCTGTAGGGCTGTCGAGACAGTTGTACACACTGGGGAGAGCAGTACCAGTCCGAGTTTGATAGTCCCAGAACTATGGTATGTCTGGGTTCAAATAAATGGCAAGCCCCTGCATGTACATGACTGCTGCCCTGCTGTTGCGGAAAACAAGGACACAATGGTCTTGCAAGTTTCTGACCCAAGGACCCATCCCAACTGATTCCCTAGTTCCAAAAGTGGGTACTGAGCGGATTCTTTAGCAAGGACTAGCACTCTATGATAGACAGGGCCCAATGGGACACTTATAAAGCACAAGGCAGACATCCATAGAAATGAAGGAATGAGAGGATCCAAGAACTAAAAATCCCACCTGCAAGTGAGACTCAGACTCCTAGAGGGTAAAATTCCTGGGGGCTGAATAAAATTGTGGCCACTCTCCCGCTGTGCACTTCAAATATTGCATTGACATAGATTGCAGGGAAAAGGACTTGAGTCTGTGGAGATGGTGGGATTGCAAAGCCATAGGAAATAAAGGTTCTTGTTGGACTGTATGATCTTCAGAACAAGAAATGTCTTCTGTATTTTCTAAGTGCCTAGCACACAAGTGCCACTGTGGTCTGAACAGCGGATGATAGTACACTGTTGTCTATAGACTCTTGCCTAGATGGAGAAGAAGGTGGGATGACGCTAGCCTAAGATTTCATAATGAAGCTATGAGCCATAACATGGTACAGTACCCCATTCTGCTTCACAATGATCCCTTTGTGCAGGCTCTGTATAGATAGCTGCCTATATAGTACATATCCTGTGGAGAAGGTTTTTTTTTTTACCAAGCAATGGATTAACACATTCATACCATGTTATGTTCTGCTATATACAGACTAGGGTAAAAATCTCACAACACAAAACATCCCGCCATTTCAAGTGGCAGTTTCAGATAGTGTTATCACACCAACAAACAGGCAACCTTAAAAGGTAGAAAAAATGAAAGTAAAATAAAGCAACAATAAGTGTACCAGGAAGTCAGGAATGGAGCCTGCATTCCATTCCAGCTTGGAGTGGTGACTTCATCTTTGCTGGGGTGACTTTCCACAGAGTCCAGGCCTGAATACTATTATTAGAACAAAACAAGTGTGCCACTTCCTAAAAATAATGATGACTCAACACCTAGAGGCTCCAGTGATGTCATATGGCCAGAGAGGTTCTGGGTTTTCACAGACGGTTTTAAAAATGAAGTTAAAAAAGTGCAGATCTCCATGCAAACAAACAAAAACTGCATCCCAGCACATGCCTCCTGAACCAGCCATTTGGAACATGGAAGCTAGGACACATTCCACTCATGATGCCCAGTCACATTGCCTCCATTCCTTGTTTAGAAAGGAGCTCTGCCAAAGCGACTCTCAATTCATTTCTGCATGATCTTCATCTGAAAAGTAAAACAACTGCCTATTTCAGTTCCTGAATGAACGTTATGATTTTTATACAAAACAGAGGCAATGCAGAAGTTCATTGAGTTGCAATACATCTTAAGTATTGCCAGTAGCTGCAGAGATTTATTTTGCTAACAAAATTAATTCAGGTACACAAGGAAAAATTTTATTACTAAACAAGCACAAGCTTAACTGTAGCCACCACTGAAGTCAATAGGACTTACTTACAGTGCATAAAGCATGTGTTTAAATCTTTGAAGTATCAGGGACATATGTGAATGTAGCCCAGGCTACAGAGTTTGCTTAAGGCATGATCTTAGAGCCAATTGTATAGATTGAGACACTCAGACTACATACAATAGCCTATATTCTGAAGGCTGTGATGATAATGACCCCAATCCTGCTGCTATAGAAGTCAGCAACAAGCTTCCATTGTCTTTAACGAAAGCAGGATCATGCCCAACATATTAGTAAAGCTGAAGAATCTTAAACTGGAAAAGTAACATGAAAACACTAGCTATTCCCTGTACTGCATTCCCGTTATAGCCATTCCATTGAAAGCTACAATCCTGCTTCATCAGTTCAGCTGCACTCTTCTCTCTACCCCAACCCTTCCCACACACCTTACAGTTCTAGAGATTTATTTTAAATTTAAATTGTTAATTACCTCCCCAGAACATACTCTGCAATCACACACCAGAATCACCAAGATGAGGAGGATACAAATCACCTCCTGTTAGTTCCTACATGGATCTCAGTACTGATTCAGGGATGAATACGTAATATTATCACTATTATTACTGGAAAAGGCAAATCTGTAATGTGACCTTAGCTATAGTGTTGCAGCCAGCTACACCATAAAGACCTAAACCTACAGGACCTGATCCTCTTCTCACACTTGCTTTTCCATCAGTAACTCCATCTCTTTTGGAAGCATTACTCCTGATTTACACAGAAGTAAGCGAGAGAAGAAGTAGCTGTATAGTCTTTCATTGACTTGACCAAAGAGACAAGTGTCTGTCCCTTGTCTGCCCATCTTACATTTTTAAGGCACCTCTGAGGTTGGTATTTAAGTATCAATACATTCTGAAGCTTGTTAAACTACAACTCTAAAGCATCTTAACAAAAGAAAATAAATGTGTGCTTCGGTTACAGTATATTTACCAATTCCAGCCTGAAGGGAATTGTAGAGTCAAGTTACAGAACTCCCACAAAGGAGGGGTTTACAAGGAAAACACTAATACACACAGTACAGAGAAATGCCGTTGTACTAAATAGAAAGATCACGGAGTGGAAAAAAATCTATGGTTACACAGAGCAATTAGCCAAGTTAAAAGCAATACACACAAACCCTTAAGCTGTTATCAAAGTCATGCCCTTTGGCTTCACAACACAGCTTCCTTATCAGGGACAGGAAAGGAGCAGATCCTCTCATTCAGCTACTCTAGAAGCCAAAAATAACAGGCCCACTTCTGCCAAATCTTACTCACAAGTAATCCCATCAGTTTCTCACAAGTGAGTAGTGACTTAAACCAATTACTTGGGTCATGTGCCGTTTCCCAGGGTTTTAATTCATTTTCCAGTAGCAAAATGCCCTATGCCCCTACCAAAAATCAAGGCTTCTTTGTGCTCTGGTCACTGCACACTATCACAGAATAAAATAGAGTCTCTGCTACAAAGAGCTTGTAATCTAAAAATAAAAAGGGCGAGTGGGTAGGGCATAGACGGAGTCAGAAGACCTAGGTTCTGTTCTTAGCTTTGCAATTGATCTGCTGAGTGACCTTGGGGGGAACTCACTTCACCTCTCTGTGCTTTTGTTCCTCCTCCGAAACTCTGTCTTTTCTAATCAGATTGCAAACTGAGTACTAACTAGTCTCTATTTCATATGAAAAAGCCTTGACATTAACCCAGGTACGTCACGTCGTCCATGGAAATTCTCAGAATGTGCATGTTGCGTGCTCTTTTCCACCTATCCATCCACCAGGAAGTGGTCCTCAGACAATGTTTTTTGTCCAGTAGGACTGTTTCTTTGCTTTCTGCACTGTCTATTTTCTGGGCTAAGGAATTAGTTTTGTGCCAAAGGCTTCTCAGTTCCTGTGGTACAGCCACAGGAGAGCTTTGTCCTTTTATAGCCTTGATCTTCCTCTCCTCTGCCACCACTGAGCAAGCAGTCACTTCTTTAAGTGGATCCTCCAGATCAGAAAGATCTTTTCTAATCTGGCATCCACCAGGTTTCCTCATAACATGAAGAGGACCAAGAGCAGGAGAAGCAGTGGGGATTCTGCATTCAGAAAAAGACACTGCTATGCAAGGGCTATAACCAGATATTGGGATCAAGTCCAATGACTCCAGCATGGCTTCATCTTTAGCCATCCTTCTCTCAGCCAGGCAGCATTTGTTTGTAGTCCTCAGGAGGATATAGCCCAAAAATGTAGGTCGCATTTAATTAAACCAGAAGGGACTTCTCTCTGATTGACCCAGCCTAAGAAAGAGAGGGAAGGAGAAATGCAGAAGAAAGGAAAGAACCGTATGAAATCTAAGGGGGTAGATATGAGAAAGCAAAAAAAGAGAAGAAATTATTAAATTTAATTTTGAGGTAGGGAAAAGGTATTTGCTACAACTTAGATATGAAACTCTTCTCAAATGTAGATACCCACAACCACCACATGACAGGTTGCAGGAAAGAGATCCCCAGACAAAAGGAAAGTACATTAATCCTTCTACTTGGCTTGTTTTACTTTAAACAAAGAACCTTCCAAACTACCATTTGCTTATAAGTATAGTTTGTCTCAAGTGCTTTCAGTTCCAGGATAAAAACATCAGTTATAGAAAATGAAGTTTTTTTAAAAATTGTCACTGTGACCCCTTAATAGGCTAAAATTGTTATATGCAATGTACACCTAGAACTTAGATTTAAATTTAGGATTCAAGTTCACACACCAGATCAAAACAATAAATTTACATTAGCAACCTCCTCTGGCTTTATCTTTTATAAAAACCCATCTGTACCAGACCCCCACCCCCCAAAAAAATGTGCTTCAAAGAGTAACAAAGCCAACAAACACAAGCATACTGCAAGAGTTCTTACTTGGTCTGTAATACACATAAGACTTAATGCATATACTGTAGGTATAAGTTACATCAATATGGTTTTCATAACAGGCCACTGTGCCATTGCTATAAACTGGATTTAAAAAGCGATATTGCAGGATATGAGTCCATTAGTGGCACTTAAGATACCAAAATCAACCAACAGTTACTTTAAACGTACAAGATTTTATATTAAAATCACATGTATTCTTATCCTGCAGTAGTAGTTAATAATAGAAAGGATTATGAAACCAAATCAGCTGGGAACACAAGTATTTGTTCTAGGGAAATCAGGTCCCTTGGTGCACATTTGTGTTACTTGGAAGCTGTATCGTAATTCTATCTAGTCTAACATAGAGACTGAAATAAAAGGAGGGTCACTACTTACCTGTAAGCAGAGTTCCTTAATCTTAAGGGGGGAGGGATAGCTCAGTGGTTTGAGCATTGGCCTGCTAAACCCAGCGTTATGAGTTCAGTCCTTGAGGGGATCACTTAGGGATCTGGGGCAAAATCAGTACTTGGTCCTGCTAGTGAAGGCAGGGGGCTGGACTCGATGACCTTTCAAGGTCCCTTCCAGCTCTAGGAGGAGATAGGGTAGCTGGTGGTGCAGCTACCTCTATATTAGGACCTAGGATTGCACAATTCTCTAAGGTTATTATTAAGAGTTTGTAGAAGTTTGCTGATCACTTTGTAGAAGTAGGATTTGATATTTGTATTAGAGGTTATAATGATTGACCGTTATAATAATGTAGTATGTATTAATGTATGATCTGATCATCCTGTTAGCCACCCTTTTTGAATAGAAAAAAAGGAATGACCCTCAGGGGCATTGGTAGAAACACATCTGACAGACTCCTAGTGTCTGTACTAATGTTAAGGCAGGAACAGACCAGAACAGTCCTTATGGCTGATTATGGTCACCCTCTGTTTTAGGATAAGTTATAATGTTTACTGTGGGGTCTTGTTTCCTATATGCATTACAAATTAGGCCCTTTAGTTAAATATACATTTCTTTGTTTTAAGGTTTAGTAAGTAAGAGACAGGATCTTGTCTTGTGTCTATGTTAATGAGATTAGAGGTATGTTGAAGGCCTGGGTCCCATTGTGAACTGTTTTGGTCACAAGATTTAGTAAGGTTTAATTTACAAATGTCTTTTTTGCTCAACATACAAACAGCAATGTTTGTATACCTTTGAAGATCTCTGTAAAAGACTGTTTGTGTGAATGAGGAGTGTATGCATCAGGAAAAGATAAGGTGTGAAGGACATTGTTAAAGACAGATGGTCAAGGAAGGAGGAGTGAAGAGACTTAACGACAGCAGAGAACCATCAACATGCATCCATAATTAAGGAAGGGGAGATTGACGACCCTGTGGTGGAGGCTGGCACCCCTAAAAGACAAGATAATTGATTAAATTGAAACCAGGACAGGATGACCCTCTTGGAGGTGCGTTGGAGTATTAACATCAAAAGATAGCACCAATTAAGGAGTAACCAGTCATAAATGACACAGCAAAATCCATAGACTTCAACGGAGAAAAAGGACTATAAGAACAGGGTGCTTTGCCATGGAACTTTGGGTTTGACTTGCCACACTCCAGGAGCATCGGATCGCGACCGACAGAGCCCAGCTCCCCTCTGCGATCAATCTGGCTGGCCACTAGATTATAGTTAGCAGTCCAGAGTCTGCATCAAACATCAACTGGCAGGAGAGAGAGAGAGAGTGTGTGTTTGTGTGTGTGTAGCTTATGCTAACTGCTGTATTCTCAATAAATGTGGCGTGTTGCCTTTTTCCCCCATAAAAAGATCTTGTGTGCTTTTTATAAGCATAATAACCTTCGTGCCAACCTGGCTGCCATCAGTAAGTAGAGTTTGGGACCCCACAGCAAATCATTTTCTTTATGATGCAGAGATTCGGAATATTCCCTCCTAATCCATGTTATTTACAGTAGGTACATAAGATATCTTCACCTTGAAGAAAAATGTAAACACCCCCCAAACAAAAGAGTAAAGCTATACACACGGTAATTCAACTTGCAGAACCTCAACCAAGAACACTGGCCAGTGCCTTTAATAGCACGAAGGGTTACAGGCTTCCAGCTAACTTGTTGGTGCTGTGGCCTGGGAACCCTTCAGCCAAAAGCCATACCTTCCCCCCACCACATAGGCTCTCAGTTCTCCATCCTAAATAAACTTTATTCCTGGCCTTCAGACAATTCCAATGAAAACCTACGTTCACTGGAGTCAGCTTGTCTGAGATTCTCCATCCAGAAAAAAAAAAAGCTTATGTGTAGCCACCCAAGTAACCTTAACTACCAGGCTGGGCATCCCTGCAACAGCCAGCCAAGCCTAATCCCAGCTAATTATAGAACTATATCAGTTTTGTTTTAAAACTAGCCTCCCTCTAACAATATCCCAATCTGTGTTTCCTAAGAAACAAGAATCCCACACCTCTTGCACAACCCTTTTCCAGCCACAAACCCTGCTGTTCAGCCGTCAGGATTCTAGAGGATTTTAAAGGGTTCCAGTTGAGTTTTTCAAGCCTAATTATAGCACTATAAATATTTTCAAATTTCCACGTAACTAGCATAGTTGAAGATCAGCAAAAATGAAACCAAGAGGGAAGGGCGGGGGGAGAGGAACCCACCTTTTTCCACTTTCCCAGGTGAGAAGTTACTTCAGATCAGATTTTAAAACACTTGTGAGCAATACAGGAAAGGCAGTAACATCACAGTAACGTGTTACCAGTGAGCAGGAGAAACATTCTTTCATGTGTTTAACTCTGCCACCTCCACCATGTCTGCAGTGATGGTTGCTATGATACGTGTGCCCACACGTTTGGTGAGATTTGCACAACGTCAACAAAACCCAAAACCTTTTTATGCACTATAGTTGGCAGGCAAGTCTTATTTAAAGAGTCAAATATTGGGGCTGACTGTAGTTGCCTGTCCCAAAAAAAGGACTCCTGAAGTCTGTGCTCCAGTACCCTCATACTGGATGAACATTTAAAAAAACAGTTTTCATATAAGTAAGAACAAGCATTGTACCATTTAAATGTTAAATACTTTCCATACTTCACATGCAAGTGGAAAAGTCACACCATACCTTGCTGTCCTCGCCTTCAAACACAGATTGGTGGACGTTACAAGCGAAGAGAGAATTTGGGAGATCATTGAAATCAGTTATTTCATGAAAATCTTCCTCTGCAAAACATCTCTTTATATCCTTGTCTCGGTCTATAGAGTAGAGTAGGAAAAGTCCCCCATCCTCCAGAATACAGCCATAGTGACCAGGGCCTCGCATTCCAAGGAAATACGATTCTCCCCTCATTCCTAATGGCATGGAGAAAAGATGATGGTTAGTCTATAAAGCTTTTAAATCATACACACAAGTCTCTCCAGGAATTCTTAGTCCTAGAAGAGACTTGAAATCAAGCTCAATCTGAAAGTTACTTTCACTAGACAACAATGCAATAACTTGCGCTGGAAACCCAGGACACTACCATCAACTTCAATGAGGTTCAAATCAAAGTTTTAGGATCATGTCTGCATTATAAAATCATAGAGGTACAGGTTCAGAAGGGACTTCAAGAGGTCATCTAGTCCATCCCCACACACTGAGACAGGACCAAGTATTCCTAGGCCATCCCTGACAGGTGTTTGTCTAACCTGTTCTTAAATACCTCCAATGATGGGGATTCCACAGCTTCCCTAGTTAAGTACTGGAATTGGTTAACAATCATTGTACTGTAGTTAGAAATATTTTCTTAACATCTAACCTAAATATCCCTTGCTGCAGATTAAGTCCATTACTTCTTGTCCTACTTTCACTGGACATGGAGAACAATCCAACACTGTCCTCTTTAGGTGAGCTATGCCAAATGTTACCAGGTTCCCCTCTCAATCTTCTGTTCTCAAGACTAAACATGCCCAGTTTTTTTTAACCTTTACTCAAAGGTCAGGTTTTCTAAACCTATTATTTTTGTTGCTTTCCTCTGGATTCTCTCTAATTTGTCCAAATCTTTCCTGGAGTGCGATGTCCACTTCTCCAATTTAGCAAGATCATTTTCAATTCTAACCCTGTCCTCCAAAGAGCTTGAAATCCCACCCAGCTTGGTGTCATCTGCAAATTTTATAGACACACTCTGCACTCTATTATCCAAGTCATTAATGAAAATATTGACTAGCAGCCTAAAAGAGGCCTAACCATGTGTCAAAATATGATACAATTCTAGGACATGTCCATAAGTTTGGCATATTATTTACAATATTATCATAGCACCTGGCAGCCCTGGTCATGGACCAGGACCCCACTGTGCTGGGTACTGTACAAACCCAGAACAAAATGATGGTTCATGCCCCAGGGAGCTTACAATCTCAGTACAACAAAAGAGACAATAGATGGATACAGAGAGATTGATAGAGTACAAGGAAGCAATAAGCATCATGATAAGGCCCGGCTTGACAAAGCTCTGGCTGGGATGATTTAGTTGGGGATTGGTCCTGCTTTGAGCAGGGGGTTGGACTAGATGACCTCCTGAGGTCCCTTCCAACCCTGAGATTCTATGATTCTATAAGCTGTGATCTCCGCACACAGCAGTCTAACTACTGTCAAATTTTTTGTAGGCATCATGGCAAAGGGGATTTTGGAGGAAGGATTTGAAGGAGAATAGTGAAGTAGCTTTCTGGATGTTTACAAGGAACTCCTTCAAAGCATGAGGGGCAACAAGGGAGAAAGCACAAAGGTGCTTGTTTGAAAATTTAACCAGTGGGAGACAGAGGCTGGTCATCAGCTGATCTGAGGCGGGGAGTCAACCTCTGGATACAGAATGAGAGATGAGAATACGCCACAAAGGGCCTTGAAAGTAAAGACATGGTTAAGGTCCCCTCCCCTCTACAAAAAACAAATGATCTTGTCACTGGGTCAAGGGATAACTTTGCTGTAAGTGGGAACCCAATGATGGTGCATTGTAGTCTGGACTCCAGCTAGACAGAGGCAACACTTTAGTGCATTAGTCCATTACAACGTGTCTCTCTTGCTCACTCTCACACCTTCAAGAGAGAGGTTTGCAAACCAACATTTTTCAAAATTGATTTAAAAATGAAAATTCTTTAAGGATGGTTCCAAATTTCAGATCAAAGTAAAAAAGATAAAGCTCCTCAAAAAAAATTGATATTATAGAAAGATTGAGAAGAGCAGTGCATATAGCTAAGACAACGCCCTGTTATTCTACTATTTCCATACAGAATAAACTGCAGCCGAATTTAAGGTTTGCTGTAGAATATATGTCCTGTTGTTCTAAGCTCATTAACACTTTCTTTAAAGGAGTTTTAATGAACATGGGGGCGGGGGGGGGAATAGACTTGAGAACAGGGCTTTGGATCAGTCCCCAAGAGGAGACATGCAGATGAATAATGATTAGAAGCTCAAGATGACTGAAGACAATTAACTATATGCATGTGTTGTAGGAGAAATTATCTTTTCTGAAAAGAAGTGGTTAGAGGGCTACATGTACATAGTTTGTTCAGATGTTTTTGATTTGCCTTGTTCTCTTGCATACTACTTGCTGTTCCTTGTTAACATTTGTAAATACTGATACAACTAAAACTCTTAGGGCTAAATTCTGCCCAGGCTTATACTGTGTGCAACTCCACTGGGATATTTAGAAACAAATCTCAATGAGTAACATGAACCCTTCAGGCCCAATCTGCCATAACTATACCCCAGTATAACCCCGCTGGCTTCATAGGCTTGCACAGCAGACAGCTATCTTACATCAAAGAGATAGCAAAAGAGGTTAACGGTGGGAGCATATGACTAAAAGAAACCCTTCATGTAGAAGAATCTAAAGTCGCCCCCAAAAGTCTATCATTTTCCCTGCTGCAAAGAAAAACTCTTGCCACAGGGAGCTCCTGGCCCTTTTCTCTGCAGCAGAAAGAGGCTCCAGGAGTGGGGAAGCAACAGGACATTAGACTGCTAAAAATAGCACTGTGGAAAGGGAGGCGCTGCTTGGGTAAGTAGAGAGGCGTGTAGGGTAAATACCCACAGGGTTCATGAGTGTCTTTACTTACCGAACCATCTATGCTGCTATTTGTACCTGTGCTACTGGGGAGGGGTGTATATTATATGTTCTCCATGCACAGAAGGAGCATGCAATGTAAAATGTATCTTCAGTGTAAAACTCTAGGGGCCCAAGCTAATTACTGTACCAGGCCACTGGATATTGACACAGGCAGCTCTGGAACACTGGGGTCAGACAGTCATATTTTGTGACGTTTCTACTGAGCGGTACCCAGGGTACCAAAACCTGGTATATTGACCACCAGTGGTCAACATAACCTTTGCCAATGGTCTGTGGAGAGCTAGCTGGTCACAAGGTCTTGGCTCCCCTTTGTTTACAGGTGCTAAATTACATTAAAAGGCAGCTAAAAATAGATTAAATACTTTCCTAGTATTACTGTTCCATGCAAGCAATTGCTATGGTTTCCCCAGGGATGTTATGTGAGGGGAGGTGGCCCTGCAAGGGAGCAAAGAAATCAAATGTAATTATAGCAGGGTGTCAGATCCTAAGCCCCTCTTCTACTGAGTCATCCTGATGTCAGGTATTTGAACCATGCATAGGGAGGTGCAGAGATATTTTTTCTGAGTCACTCTAAGGATAGAGCAGGTGTGTCCAATTAGCTCCAAGTTTGGTGGGTCTCTCAAGCAGAAGGAACAACAGGCAGAGATAGAGGTCCTGCAAGGAAATCTAAAGGGCAGCCAAGCTCGGGGAGAAAGCTGGTGTTTGTTTTTTGTGCTAATTAAAGTTAGCAATAAAAGCAAACCCTCTGAAGGGGATTATTGTTATATCAGGTACCTCCAGGTGATGGTGTTACTCAGTCTTCCAAGTTCTTTTTCTCGGTTTGTGAGACAATGTTCAGTCTTAGGAAGATGTGTGCCGCTGTTAGTTCTGTTATGCAAGGTTCTATGCAGAGGTTGCTGTATGAGCTGCAGGAGAGATTGCGCTCTGCCTTGGCCTACGATTGGAGTAAATTCTTAAGGCAGAGCTGGTCTCTGGGAACTGGGGGTCAGTGTTGGGTTGAGATTCCTGAGAAGGGATTGTCCTGCATGTTCTGTAACCACCTCCGTTCCAGGACTGGTGCTATAGATAAAACAAGGTACACTTAAAATAGATCCAGATTCCACGCCATTGATTTCTTCTCCACTAAGGAGCCAGCCAGCAAGGCTCTGATATCAGCTGCCATTAGGCAGATGGATAACAGTATCCTCTATCCACGACAGGGTGGGAAGCGCACCTACACACAGTAGTCTTCCCACAAACACATGGACATCCTTAACGATTGTATGTAATGTTGCTGTAAAGCTCTACGTCTGCTCAAAAGCTTGTCTCTCTCAACACCGGAAGTTGGTCCAATAAAAGATATTACGTCACCCACCTTGTCTATCTAATATCTTTGATGACTGTAACCCAGGCCTGCTGGGTGTGGCACTCTGTCCCCCTCTAGCGATGCCTAGGCCAGCTAGAGATTGATGAGGCTGCTACAACCCTGGCTAACAAACCAATCTATTTTAGCTCATGCATTAAGCTCCAGAGGTCCCAGGTTTGATCCCAGCCACCGCCAACCGGGGTCTGTCGGTGTTAGAAGTGGGGGCTCCTCTGGGATACCGACTAGGAAGTCTCTGAAACATCATCAGGGCTAAATAAAAGTCCTTAGGAAACCGGGATTTGCATGTCATCTGATTGGCTAATAGATACATATGGACTCAGCTGTAGCCAATTAGGATGCACATATATAATTTGATTTGTCAACTCTTGTTCCAAATTTAAGTTTTCTTGGCCTTGGTATAAACAATAGAAGATTTTACTAACTCTTCCAATGACTTCTCAGCCATTCACAAATTGAGATTTCTCATCTATGTAACCCTAGGAATAATGTCATGATGCTGGACTATGTTCATAAAAAGATTCTGTGGTTATCAAACATCTGTTTTGTTTTAGTATTTACTCACCCATTAAATCCATTTATCACCTGAAGACAAACCTGTGCCAGAAACATTTGCTTGCCAATAATTCGGTCAAAGCATTTAATAATAATACCAGCTCATGGTGTCATCAGAAACCTCTCTCCCTCCCCCCCAAAAAGATAATCAATTCCTTATAAATCACTGCAGTCCATCTCACTGGTTATTTTTAAGCAGGTATATTGGTATAATATAGTAACTGGGCCACATTCTGTGTTACACTAAAGCCCCATTCTACTGCTTCTGGCAAAACTTATTTACTACCACTTCACACAGCTTTGAAAATGTAAAGGAGATCTGTAAGGCTGCTGGCCTCTCCCCAAGCCCATGAAGGACTCACCTAGAATCTTTCAGGCTATTCCTCTGGGCCAGCCTTTTATTCTTCAAACACAAGACTTAGGCAAAACACCAAAACAAAGCTGTTCTTCAGCCTGCCACAGCTCCCAGGGGTTTTTCCCCTTGCCGCTCTTGGTGTCAAAGAGAAGATGACAGGTTTCAGAGTAGCAGCCGTGTTAGTCTGTATCCGCAAAAAGAAGAACAGGAGTACTTGTGGCACCTTAGAGACTAACAAATTTATTAGAGCATAAGCTTTCGTGGGCTACAGCCCACTTCTTAAGCTTTCGTGGACTACAGCCCACTTCTTCGGATGCATCCGAAGAAGTGGGCTGTAGCCCACGAAA